CAGTAGAGAGAGGGTTTTGTCATGTTGGCCAGGCTGGTCTTGAACTCCTGACCTCAAGTGATCCACCTGCCTCAGCCTCCCAAAGTGCTGGGACTACAGGCATGAGCCACTGCACCTAGCCTGAATTTTGTTTAATTTCCACAATTCATGTTTAATACTTTTGTTGTAGCCAAAATACATTACATAATGCTTTGTTCTCCTTTCCCCCTTTTTTTACCCTTTAATGAAGAATAACATATTCCATACTGGCAAAAAAAAAGCAAAAGATATTCTCCTTATTTCTTTAACTCTAATTCTCTTTTCAGCTTGACTTAGAGTTGCCTAACAAATCTTAGAACTGTTCAGTTATAAGATTATGACAGTGAACTTGGAGACAGTAGAAAGAACAAACTTTAAAAAACAGTGGAGATTTTATACTCTCTGGTCCATCACCACAGCCACGTGGCTTTGAGATTTCAACAGTCTTTTTTTTAATTGCTTAAACAAAACTCTATTGCAGTAGAAAGTAGTTTTGAATTGCATTGACCTTGAAATCATGGTCAAGGCACAGAAGAAGGCCTTGACCATGATTTTAATCATTGTTAAACAATTGACTATATATCCAAAGCATTGCAACCATGACTATGAAACTTCTTTTAGTAAATTCTTTCCTGGGAGAATTCAAGAAACCTCCCAGGCTAAGCCCTAATTTCAGGGCTCACTTGCACGCCTGCATCACTCTGACAAGTTTCTTCATTTCCTGACTAGTTGCACTAGCAGTAGCTGGAGCGAACATGCTGCTTAATAATTAAGCAGTGCTTGGCAACCCAGTCAAAAGAACATAATTTTCATTTCATCCTATCACAAAATAATTACCTCAATAAATTGCAGCAATGAGGAATCTTGCTATTATTACAGAATACCGCTGGTTGGCAAAATCTTTCAAAGTAAGGGATCTAGGAGTAAAATCAATCAAACAGGCCATTGGTAATGAAGCTTGCATGTCTGCGGATTCAGCATCTGCGGATTCAGCCAATTACATGCCATGAAGCCTGCTTCATCGCCATGGCCTATTTTTATTAATTTTATTCCTAGATCCCATATTTTAAAAGATTTTGTTGATCAGATGAATTGTATAACAATAACAAAGCTCCTTATTGCTACAATTTACTGAGGTAAGGTAATTGTTGTATGTTATTTGAAGTAACTTATTTCTTATAATGATCTCGTGAAGCAGGCCTGTTCTTCCATTTTAAAGATGAGAAAACTTAGATGGTGTCTTGTAGATATTAAGTAATTTGCTCAAGATAGACGAGCTAGTGAGTGCTGCTGTTGGGAATGGAACATATAGGTCTTTTTTACTACAAAACCACAGCTCTTAAAGCTTTCCTCTAAGGCATAATTATTAATCCACTGTCCCATTTTTATTGCTGACCTATAATTAAAGCTCTAACAGAACTCCTAGTTAGCCTAAGGAAACAAGTACAGTATTTCCAGATAGAGTTGATGTCATTCTCTTCAAAAGCAAAGAAATTCTATTAGTCTATGAGACATGCTATGATTAAATATACAGTTTCTATAAGGCTTTTGAAATATTTAAGACAGCTGGAATATCCAAATTATTATCTTATAAACTCCTAGTTATCCAGGGAGTCTAGACGAACAAAAAAAAGGAACTAAATTATATAGTCACTTGTATATGTGTTTGTGTGTATATGAAATTCAATTAGCTATATACATACTGCCATAAATATGTATCTATTTTCAAGTTTGTTTTAGTTCTCCACAATTTTTACAATGATCTATGATTATAAAATATTCTAAATTATTTTATCACCATATTTCAGCAATTATGTGTAGGAAAGGTACACACATTCTCACACAGGCAGTCAAACATTTTTTAAATACCAAGAAATTTAGCTGCAATACAATTACTTAGTTGATGTCTGTCTGCAATGTTTTTTTTTTTTAATTCACAAGATAATAATTTTGGAGTGTTCGAACTAGAAAAAATAGCTAAATAAAACATTTTTTCTTCTAAATAGTCTCAACAGGGGTTTTTTTGGTTATAAAATGAATCTAATGAGCACACATATTCAATTAATTCTTACCAAAAAAAAAAAAAGAAATCCTGAACTTATAATAACTGCCAGATGACTCAAAAATACATCAGAAAATTTTCTAAATACTCATTTTCCCCAATAGAGAATTGCACATTTTAAACAATTTGAATAATTTTTCTTGAATTGTAGCTGGTTTACCTTTTAACTTCATATGCCACACATCCACATTCAAATCTGAAACTGTCTGCTGTAATAAAATCTGTCACCATGTAGATTACAGCCATCACCAAATACTGTGAAGTAGTAATGCCACAGTTGGACAATATAATGAACAATTAGGACTGCTATGCAGGAACTTATCAGTGGAATCCAAGTTCCTGGACTTTTTGAACTTGTGCAACTTATTGCTTTGTTTTCAATTTCATAATCCCAAAGGTCAGATGTACTGCAGTCAGAAAGGGAGGACTGGAAGGTCGCTTGGAAGTCACAATTATCTCCTGAGTTGGCTTCCATACTGTTAGATTATCTCATTAAAGAATCACTAAAGAATTCCTCATTGTTTTGATCTTTAGCATGATAATGGAAAGAAAAATGTTAAATAGCATGCCAAAGTGACAGTCAGCTTGGGGCATGCTTTTGAAAAAGTAGGAACGAATAGGATAAAGTTTTCACTATCATAATGGTGAAGAAACTCAGATAACCCAGAACTCAGGATTAACTCTGGAAAGTATGGAAAGTATGGTCTGGGTAAAGCATCACAACATAATGTTCTTTCTTTTTAATCAATATGTTATATATATATATATATATATATATATATATATATATATATATGTATTTTAATTGTACTTCAGGCATTTTTTTAAAATGTATT